GGGGTGTTGCTTCTTGGAATGTTTTTCACTACGCTTCATGGTATCGTGAGCATGCTATGGATTCGCCTCATACAATTTTTTATGTTGTTTATGTAGCAGTACATTTGGTATTGAATACTAGGTTACTAAAACTGTGGTAACAGCAACATTGGCCTTAAACAGTTGGAGGGATAGTTCCTATCACTGAATAATTTGGAATTGGCTAGGGAGGATTTAGATAAGACTTTGGAGTTTAGCTTTCTAGGGTGGGTGGGCGAGGGAGATATGACACATGCACCACAGTAGAAGAAAATTACTTAAGGGTGAATCATAGTGCTACAAGACTGTGGGGAAGAATGGATTTCATCAAGAAAAGGCACATTTTTAATTTGGATACTACTGGTGCCAAGTTACTTTTTCTTTGCAAGGATAGAAATTACCTTGAAAAGGAAAAAATAAGGTGTGAGGTATAAATCTAAATCGCTCTTTGGTAAAGGAAGGAATTAAATCTGTATTATCCACTGCCTAGGTCATGGCTCTAACCATTAGGATGTTATATAACTATATTATTTATATTAAATATAATATAATATTTTATCACCACAGTTTTGAAATAAAGATACCTCGGTCCTATTTTGAATCTGGTCCCAAGTATACAGGAAGGGTTAACAGACTAAAGCATCTTTCTGTGTTGCATGACTCTTTCATTATTTATAGTTTGTATCAAGTAAAACCAAAATTTTGGCACATGGATGAATTCTAAAATCACAGGTCCGTTTTTCCTCATTCTATACTGAAAATATGGATAAGTTATGTGATTCAACTTTTCCTTGATTTTTACAGGGGCGTTGTCAATTCAAACTTGGCCTTAGATACAGACTTATAAAAACAAGCTTTTAGAAATCCTCAGACCTCTGATTCCATGTTTCTAAGTATATATCTGTGTAAAAATCTCAATCCAATAAAAACAGTTATCTTTAAAAAAATACATGGAATTTATGCCCAAGCACTGCAACATGGACATCCCAAAAATGAAACTGTCCAAATTATCTTTATATCCAATCTTTGAAGTGTGTAAAAAAAATAAACACTGAGAAAAATATTGAAATGAAATAATTTATGTGCTATGAGTCATATATCAGGTAATTCATTTGTATAAAACACAATTATTAAATTGACAGTATTCTAGCAATATGAATTAATAGCACTGGTCTGACACCAGCTATCAGAATGTATCCATCTTTTCATTACCTCCTCCTCTCTTTTACCTATTAACAGCTTCTCCATTTCTCTGTCTGAACATTGGTTTCATAATATTTACTAAAAATGATTTTGCAGTATCTTGTGGGTGTCATGTGATATGCTTTGGTATCACCTGCATTATTTTTTGCAATATGAAGAATTGGTGAATATAATTCACAGCTTGCTTGTTTCCTCATAAATATCACACAACTTACTTTCCCATAAATCTAAAATGATTGGTAAATTACAGTTAAAAATGTAGGGACATTTTTATATGTGGTCAGAGGCGGGAATGGACAGGGAGGACTTTAGAGTGGCTCCAGGGAGCTGCTCTAATTGAAGTGCCGATAGTGTATCATGTATTCAGTGTCCTGCACTTCAAAATGGTGGTAGGGGGTGATTTAACTAAAGCTCATTCGATGAGCTTAAATGATGGGCGGTGGGGGGCAGGTGGGAGCTCCGGTGCCCCCCCATGAGTGCTGGCCAGGGAGTGAGTGCCAGATGAAGCACTGCAGTTGCTTCTGGGAGTGACATGGCCACTTCCAGGAGTGTCGTGGCCACTTGCCAGTCAGTGCCATCAGCTGTGGGGGGACCCTCTCCACCCCCACAGTTGGCAAGATTGGCTGACTGGTTGCTGGGGGGGCACATGCCCCGCTGACTAAGGTGGCACCAGTCACCCATGTCTGCCACCATTTTGAAGTGTGGGAATACTGAATACATGTGACACCAAGGCTGCTGGAGCATGCTTATGAGCATACTCCAGAAGACTCAATTAACCAAACATGCTCTGATGCATGGTAATTAGCATGTGTCAGAGCAGGCATCAGGCACTAGCATAGGTGCCCTTTGTTTTACAATATGATAAATGTCAAGAGTCTTTCTCCACCTCTTCAGAGACTACAGAAAAAAAAAAAAAACACCTGGAAAAACCTACCAGACCCACGGAACATGGTGTGGGCAATGGGAGTGCTGCTGCCACCAGAACATTACTTAATTAACTGATGGTCCTTCCGGATTGGCATCCCTCACAGTGGACGCAGTATTTCCAATAGAATGGTGGCACCAGAGGCAGAAGTGGCAGACCAGGGAAGAAGATTTCCCAGCCCTACCTTGAAGCTGCCATCTGTGAGAACCCTGGAGATGGGGAGAGGACTGAATTTCAGTCCCAGGCCTTGGAGGAGCTCTGACTACAGGCCATACTCCTGTTCTGTTCCCTACAAACAATTACAGAGCGAAGTCTGAGAGTGTTGGGAAGTATGGAGCATTTGTGATCCGCTCAGCATGGAATAAGGTCATTTTTTTTCCCTTTAACATTTAAGTTCACATTATATAATGAAAGAGCTGTCACAGACTGATTTGGGACATTATTGAGTAATGGGGAGGATCCCCAAGTCTTGTAAATAAGATTGGACTACTGGGAAGGTGAAGACATTCCCTGCTTTTGTTATTTCTTCAGGTTTTTTTCCTTTTGATTGAAGTTGTCGTTATCCATGAGACTATGTCTGGATGATGATTACCCTCAGCCTTTGGGAAAGGGATCCACACAAGGGATAAATGTAACCTGGGTGGTACCCAATGATGTACTCCTTTTTCCAAATGAAGGGAATGTCAGCAGAGCAGGTGCGCAGAGGGGTGAAACTTCCTATGACGGACAGTTTCTTATACTCTAATGGAATGCCACTTTACAAAGTGTGAAGAGCAGGGTTCACAAAATATGGGATGCAGAAACAATGGATACAAAATCTAGGTCTCTAAAAGAACAGAAGAACAGCCCAGAAGCCCTGGAGCCGTAGCAGTGCCCACAGATAACAAGGGGGAAAAGAAAAGAATCCCAGACCCCCACGAGCTTCCACGATAGGGCTCTGAGAAACAACCTTTCATTCCGACTTCTGTTTTGCCATTTTGACAGGACAGTGTTTTATTTTGAGTTCTGTTTAGTTTCAAATGCACTGTTCGGTTTTGTCAAAACTGTTTAGCTGTTTTCACATTTCGCCCATAGGCTCTAATGAGGAAGCACAAAACTGCCTATAACTTTGTTATTTTTTGGCAGATTTGGATTAAAACATCAAGAATGATAGCCCCTTAAGAGGGCATGAAGCTTACCAAGTTTCAAGGAGATAGGTTCAGGGGGTTCTGGGAAAGTGCCTCAAAATCTTCAAAGAAAAACTTGTGTAACTTGTAAGTGTGAAGGCACAGCAGGGTGAAAACGTCAGGCATTGTAGGCCCTGCTGATGCCATGAAGCCTGCCAGGTTTCAAGGAGGTGGGTTCAGGAGTTTCTGGGAAACTACAACTCAAGCTGCTGACAAGCAAAACTCATGACGTGTGACTGACTGTTGTGTTAAGGTGCACCGTCACTGGCTCTGAGGCATCAACATGACATGGTAGTGTTCCCCAATGAGGTCTCCTCCTCCCCTATAGCCTCATTTCAGTCCACCACCTTAAATGACAACAGGTATAAAATAAAATAACTTAGTAAGCACTAGCACAGTAGCACCAGCAACATCTCAGGCAGCCAAACTGTGACAGCCTGTTTTTACTCTCCTGCAGGAGCCTCTTCTCCAGTGTGTGTGTTAAGGTACACCCTCACTGTGTCCTTTCCCCTTCCTTCTCCTTACTTTCTATTTCCCTACAGGCAAGCCCAGCTTCAGCTTCAAAACTCAAAAAAATTCAAAACTTTTGAAACATTACAACTGCCCTCATTTAGTTTCAAAGCAGTTTCAAAGCCCTTTGTTTCATTTCTATTTCACTGTTTCAAGCTCAAAGCGAGTCAAAACAGTGTCAAAATGAAAGAGCCAACAACATTTCACACAGCCCTATTCTGCAACCCAGTTTGAATTGTTTTACTAGGGGAATCTTGCAACCTTGGGACCTCCCCATCAGGGATTCCCTTCCGGCTGCTAGCCACAGAACAGTGGTGGGGGGGACCCTCCTCTGCTCTGGGAATCCCCTTCTCGGGTAACTTCCAAATCTCCATAGCCCTGATCATCCCTTCGCTGCTCAGGGCTCTCCCATCCTGGGCTCTCTCTTGGCCCCATGCACCATCTCATGCACTGATGACTTCTATATGCAGCATGCTCAGCCTTGGGCCAAACTGGAGGCCCAAGCGGTCCTCATGGCCTCAGGGCTTGGGTCCACTCCCTAGACCCTCCATGCACTGACTGCACAGTGCACCTGGCCTCACGCTGGGGTTGGGGACCCAAACTGCTTCGTACAGCTCCTAGGGCCTTGGTCAACTCTCGGATCCTCTGTGCACCACCTGTGCACTGTAGTGCCAGGCTTGTGCCAGGTGGTTGGAGACCTAAGCCACCTCATGCAGCACCCAGGGTCTTGGTCCCTCCTGGACTGTCCATGCACCAGCTGTGCAGCAATGCCTCAGTCCCTCATGGTGGGACTGCTTCCTAGGTGGCAAGTCTCTTCAGGCTCTTCTAGCAGCTCAGCCAACTCTTCTTTGCTCTCTTCTTCATCCCCCATCATAGCTACCCACGTGCCAGGCACACTGCCTTTTTATTCCATCCAGAGGCTCCACCCCCAGATTGCAAATAGACCAACCGGGGGGGAGAAGGGGAGTTAGTCCCCACTCAGGTCTGGCTGTTCACCTCACCCCTTTGTAGGGGAAGGGCAAGCCTCTCCCTTGCCATCACCTGATGGTTGGGAACACCCCACCAATTACTTGGAGCCCTTCTAAACTGGCAAGTCAGGCTGCTGCCATCAAGCCTGTCACATAAAGAAAATGCCTAATGCTCCCCAAGACTTTGGAATTCCTAGTAATTACCTAATCGGTTCTATTCCTTGGTTGTCGCTGTTTCCTTTTGATTTAGCTGTGACCAAATATTCCTCTGGGTCCAGTCTGCCTGTTTTTTCAGGAGATGATGTTGAAGGGATTCTAAGCTTAAAGAAGAAAAGAACAGAGGAGACATTAGAATATCCATCAAACAACTTGTAGGCTTTGTGAGATTTCTTAACAACTGGGTGGCATTTGGCTAGGGTGTAAGGGGAGGTCGGAGCCCCAAGTAGGAGCAGACCTGATGTCCTTGAAGTGAACTTGCAGCAAGAAGAACATCTCCTGATACATATATATTACAACAAGCCATGGCAGGCCAGAACCAGGCAAACATTACTGTCTGATCCTGAGAGGCTAGCAAGGTCTCTCCCTCATGGCATAGACCCAGTGGGCACAAGGATGATGGGGCCCTTGGACTTATCCTGTGCTCCACAGACAATAAAGAAGGAGGCAACTTTCTGATATGGTACAGTTTTCTGAATTATTCCTCTTTAGGTTAAAATATGCTCCCATTACTTCATATGTTAGAGAGTATGCCAACTTCTTTGTAAGGGAATACTTCTGTTCAAATGATTTTTCAGATATGTGAATTCTAAAAATATTGTGCACCATAGTTCTCTAGAGCAATGATCTGAAAAAAGGGGAAAAAAAGATCTTTTCATGAAGAATCAATGGTTAAACACTGAGTGGTTAATAACACCTGTTATCTCTAATTAGGTTCTGAAAGTACACAAGGATTTCTGACATGATAATGGTATACTACATGAACAGAATGCATTGATAACAGGTGGGAGGATGTGTTTTATTTCTACAGCTTTTCCTTATTGAAAAATCAAATACACTGAATGACAGCTCAGTGGAAAATATGAGTAAATCACAGAAGGCTATACATTGTGAAGTTTGTAAAAGCTCCACTTTAAATTATATTTGGGCATTTTCCATTAGCATTTTCTCCACATCATTGTAAGGCTGCACCCATCTGGAACTAATTTGAAAATCAGAGGTTAATGGTCACAAAAAATGACTTGTACCAATTACATGGAATATGTATAAATTCAGTCTGCATGCAAGTTTCCATTTTAAATGCTGTTTTTACTTGTCTGGTGGTGACTACAAGAATTAAGTTTAAACTGTTACACTGTTAATATATAATTAGCATAACAGAAATACAGATACAATAACAACATTTTTTGAAGATCACTGACAGAGGATCATGATTTTCCACAATAGTATGTGATTTTTTAAAAAAGTTATAAGAAAATCCAGATTGTTTCAGAAACATCAAAGTTATTGTAATCCTTCAGTATGGGGATTTATTTCACTTTGAAGTTCCTATAGTGGGACTCCCTGACTTTGTTAAATTATATTGTCTTTGAATTTGTGTGTTTGGGGAAGGGGAGGACAAGGGGGAGGGATTTAAAAGCATATCATTCTCCTTCCCCTTAAAGAAGACTTTTTAAACTTGACTCTGTGGAGTTCCAAATTAATTGGGTTCAGAAAAGACTTAGAAGTTAAGGTCATGTTGACCATTGGCTTTGTCCCCCTCCTTAGAACTGCATGAATGTTTTGGGTGCTTACTTGATATTTCACTGCTGAAAAGTTTTTTAAAGTTTGCACATTAAAATTGAATAGAAGCTGTTTTTATCAAAAGCTAGGTGATCATCTGTATGTTGGCATTGATCAAAATGATAAATAATAGAATTTCCCTCGTGGCCATACAACGTTCTAAGGTAGGGATGAATGTATAAGAAGATGGCCTTCAAATCCAGGTGAACCAGCACAAGTCCTTATCAATTATTAGATAAAGTTGGGAAAAGGCTAGCTGATCTTTAAACAAGTGCTACAGGAGGAACATGAACTTGTGCAATAGGCCCTGCAGCAGTGAAACTGAACTATGTGTTTTTATTTCAGTTTTAAGAAGTAGGAGGAAGAACCTCTGGAGCTGTAGCTAAGGGCTTAGGCAAGCAGTTGCTGTATAGTTGAAGAATAACATTATTCTGACAAGGAACTTTAGCGTGACCATGAACCCTTCCCTGGACAATTGAAGCAAAATGAAGGGAAAAGAAGGCAATGGCTAACCTGAAGCCAAAATGAATATTTAGTGCTTTTCAACAACTGCTTTCTCTAAACCAGGCAGATATGACCTTATGTGTCTCTTGCCCTTATGTTGAAAACAGTGGTGTAATGATCCTAAAGCAGAACTAAGAGAAACCTTTTCCATGGTAAGGCACTCTAATCTGGCTGTCCTGTTGGGGAACATATAGTACAATATGGTGAAACAAAATATGGTGAAGTAAGACTAAACCCTAGACTGATTTAAAGGTGTGGATTGGAGCTTAGTGATATTTCTCTCTGTTTGTTGAATATCTGCAGGCCAATTGGGATTTCCTTCATCTTCAGTTTTAATATGTGCATATCAAATCATATCTGCACTCATCTGGACGCAGCCAGAGAGGCCAAGTTATGCCAGTTGGAGGTATTTCTGATGCATTTTATTCACAAAAGGGAATGTCAAGCTACTTTACTTTAGCATAATATGCACCCTGAAAGCCTCAAGGAGGTGTGCGACCCATTTAAATTTAAACAGCTTCTCATTAAACCTACTTATTTCCTGGAGGAAATCTTGCTATACATATGAGTAGTTCACTAAGGAGGTCTAGCTACATAATTTTCTTCAGAGAAATGGACTTGATGTGGGATGGCATGGTTCCTTGTCCTTTCAAAAGGCAGCCTCAAAGGGACCAAAAAGGCCTGGAAACAAGAGCTCTGAAATTCAGACCTGGGCTATTTTCATCACAGACCATAAAGTTCAGTTAACCTCCATTATCATCAACAACTTGCAAGCAATATTGGATAGTTAGGAAACCAATAAAAATTGCCAAAAAGCAATGAACAATTGCTTATGTACCATGATATCCTGCAAGCCCCAAAATTAACTGTTTGCTTACTGTATTTCTCTCCAATACACAATGATTTGGAAAAACATGATGATACCGGGTTATATGTGGAAACTGAATGGCAACCTGCATTTTATTTTAAAGGTATCTGTGACAGAATCAATATGCACTTGGAAGACAGCTAAGGTGTAACAAAGGAAGAGAAAACAGCCAGTGTACAATATGACAAATAGGGGTCATATCTATCACTGAAGTGTTAAAGTTATGCTAGTAGATGTTGTTCAAGAATATGAAGCCTTGTTCCTAGATATTCTGTTGGTTCCTAGACCAATACAACTTGCTATGTACTATAAATGGCCTCCTCTAATAGCTCTTAACAGTACCTGAATTAGTAAAGTTGGTGCCTACTATAATCGAGAGATAGGGATTTCTTAGGGTTACATCTTTGGAACAATGTATAGGTGAAATGGACTGAGACAGACTTTCAAATGCAAGACATTCTTCATCAGGTCTCAGTAGTAAAAGGCATCCCTGCAAGGTAAAAAACAGTTGTAAGAGGGGGAGAGAAATTCCCAGGGGTAGCACACAAACAATTAGCAGAAAAAAAGAAACCGATGACTGGCCTGTTAAAAGGGAGGAATCATCATCACCTGTGCTCTCCTATCCATATTTCAGAGGTTATCAGATGTTTGATGGACTTTTTGATGAATGCCATGACCACTGTAATGCAGTAAGGAATGTATATTTCCATCCCTGGATTTAGATGTGGTATCTCATGAGAACACACACTGTTGTTAACTGTCTCAATTAACATTTTTCTTAGTAAGAAGCTCTTGTGATGCTTTCAAGTATAGCAAGAATAAGGAGTACAGCAAGAGCCTTGTGTTGTTCCCTCAGTAAAGCTACCACTTATTGAGAGAGGGATCACCTTTTTGTGCACTACCTAACAAAACAGGGCCTTGGTCCTAATAAGGATTATGAGATGATACTGCAATTCAAACAACAAATACTCATAACTCACAGGATTACACCAGTCTGTGTAATCCCATAGCATTATCAAAGGTCCTATTCCATAATGATCTTCCGCTCTTGTCCCTTTCCCCGGCAAGTCCAAAAAGGGAGGAAAAGATGGAGCAGCTATACTGATATATCCACTTGTGGAGGCTAGAAATCAGGTTGTGTGCAATGTTCATTTTCTCTTGCTTCTCTGTGACAGTTTACCCTTTATTAAAAAGAATATGGCTAAATTGTGAACTTCTCTAGTAATCTGCTTATAGTTTAGCTTTATGGCAATAAGAATTTTCAGAGGTATTCTTTATCATACTTGATTTTTCCTTTTCACTTATCTGCTTAATACGTGTAGTCTGGAGCATTCATGGCTTTCTTACGTGAGCCACAAATACCACACTGGAAATAGAGAGTCATGAATATCCCGCTTCTATTTCAGACCTGCTCCACATGGCTCAGGTGTTTATGCTTGCTTTCTAGCTAGGTCATTGTACAAACGTAAAAGAAGCAGAAGTTTCCAGATATGAGAAAAGCAGGATTTTTGCAAAAAAGAAACTTGTATTCAGATTCCCTTAGGATGGTGAGGGTCAGCAACATATAGAGATTAAAAAAAAACAACCCCAAAACCTGTACCTTAATCCAGGAAGCCCCTGAACTGGTGTAAAATGACCTAAATAGAATTATCAGTACTATCAATGGTGATATTTCAGTTTTACATCCAGGTAGACTTGTCCCATAACCTGCTGGAGGTTTGCTACCTCCTGCACTGACTGATTTGGAAATTGCAGAAAAGATTGAATTAACAAGCTATCAATAATTTCTAATCTGTGAGACATAATTCAATCTCTTACACAAATTGTCTCAGAAAAGAAGTACAGCTCTAAATATTTTGCACGTTGAAAAGATGGTCTAGATGAGCAATACTGTGCAGTTACATCATTCCTCTTTATTTATTGTGGTTTTGCTATAATGCACTTCAGTCAATAAGAAGTGCTGTTTTGACTGCCTTCCAAAATTATTTCCGTTTTTTTTTTGTTTTTTTTTTTTTACCTCAACTCATATTCCCAAAGCTGATGTCATGTTCAGAAAATAAACTGTCCAATGATCTGGCACCAGGAGTCTTCTCTTGTGAGTTAAATAAACCAAAAATATCCTATCTCTAATTTAATTGAAATGTTTTCTATTTGAGTTTTGTGGACATACAAATACATTTTTCTTCTCTTCAACTATATACTTTATTATGTCAGAGCTGCTTTTGAAATATTCCTGTTCTGTACCATTTATGAAATTTGTGCCAAGGACAATATAATTATTGTGCTAAATTTAGTTTAACAAAGCCCAAAACTTCAAGGTCTCCATGTCCAAGTTAGTCTCAGGTTTATTGAATTAGAAACCACACTTTACTCATTTTCTACAGAATCTTTCATAGGATCAGAGGAGAGTAGGGATGAAGACGCCTTTCACAGTCAATCATTTCAGGTCCCTGCTCAAGGCAGAATCATCCCTGACTAAATGAATCCAGCCAAGAGTCTGCCTAACCTGCTCTTGAAAGCTTTCAAGGATGGAGAGTCCACAATTTCTCTAGGTAGTTTGTTCCAATGCTTGACCACCATCATAGTCAGAAAATTCCTCCTAATCCCCTATCTAAATTTCCCTTGTTGCAGTTTAAGGCCATTGCTCCCCTTAAGCCACAGAGAAAAGCTCATCTCCAGCCTCTCTGTAATAGTCCTTCAGGTATTTGAAGACTGGTATCAAATGCCTCCTCAGTCTTGTCTTCTCTTCTCTTCTCTTCTCTTCTCTTCTCCACTTAACCCTAGTTTCCTTCATCCTTTCCTCATAAGTCTCGTCTCCCAGGCCCCTAACTGTTTTGTTGCTCTGCACTGGACCCTTTCCAAACTGTCCGCATCCTGCTTGAAGTGTGGCATCCAAAACGGGACAAAGTACTCCAGGTAAGGTCTCACCAGTGCTGAATAAAGTGGTTTCTTGTTCTTTGCAAAACAAAAGCAAAAATGAAGCCTTATGGAAGGACCATTCCCTATTTAAAACAATACCAAAATAGTTTGTGTAAAGTTAAAAACTGAGTAATATGGTTAACTAACTGTAGCATCTGGAAAACATCCCACCGCCCTACAATTGTTAAAAAGTAATTTCATGAATAAAGAAACCCTGGCAACATTGTATGTTTCCTTCAAAGGCGTCACTCTAAGTGCCCTCCAGTACTAAACATTCTAATGGATTTTAATGAGTTGAGCACATGTAGCCGTTGTGTGATCTAATATAAGTTTGCTTACTCAAAAGTCACTTGTCTGAACTTCTTATCCAAAATAGAGAAACATCCTTTAATGTCACTTACTTCAGTTGTTCTTCCCCATGAATACACATTGATTCAATGTCTCCAACAAGTTTTAGAAATCTGAAGTGGAACTGTTACACAAATTACCAATTGCTTAAATCACAAGTGAGACTTTATAAAGGGGCATAAGGCAAAATGCCGCGTTTATTGATTACATGAATTAGACATAGAGGTCCTGGTACGCCATTCATACAAACACACAGTGATTATCATACACATCATCATGCATAAACACACACACAACCATTCCATGCATACAGACAGACACCAGGTATAGTTACCAGTAATAGTTGCTCAGGGTGGCCAACACCATGTTCATTGAGTAGCTGAGATGATGATGATGGTGGTGGAAGACAGCAGCTGGAGCGGGATGAAAACAGACGCGTCTGTGCTCTGGGAAAAAAAATGGAAAGTTCACTGACTTGGCATCATTTGGGTTTCCCTTTTACAGGTTTTGCCAGTCTTTGTTCAGCATTGTGGGGGTTTTCCATGCTTAGTCTGTGTTTTAACAGTTGTTTCTCATCCATCATCTTCTTATCTCAACTCAAGGTCATACTGGTCGTAAAAATGGGTCTCAGCCTTGAAGTGTTCTTGTTGCCCGCATGGCAGCATTCCTTCCTCTGTTATCTCCTTTGTGCCCCCGGGCTTCAAAGGGATTCTTCAGCTGTTTGTTAGTTAGTTACTGGCTGGTAATTTACAAATCTGGCACCTTGTTGCTTATATAAACAGTTACATCCGTTCTCCTTGTTCTCATGCAAAACTCCCATTCACTTTTCACTCACCCCTTCACCCATACCTCTCTCATGCCCAGGGCATACAAAGTTAATTCACCTGTGTCAAGCCAGGAACAGTACAAAATGGAGTCAAGCAGCTACTTTCTAGAAGACAGAGATCAAATCATTAAATTCATAATGAAGTATTCTAAACTAGATTCAACTTAATTATTTAAAATCCCCAATGACATGCCACAGAACTTCACTACATTATGCAGATTAAATTTGTAGTTTAAATCTATTTTTACTGGGGTGGGGAATGACCGTATTCACACTTTCAATTTCCTTAAACACATGCTATTTTAGGAATAATCTGAAAAATTCCAGGTTCATATTATAGGAAGCAGACATCCTTGCTTGAATCTAGTAGCCAAAGCTAATGCATGCTGAACCCTTATACACATGCATGCTTGGAAGGTTTGGGATACTGATGTCTTAGTCATGATTTTTACTAAGAACTATTACATGCTAAGGTCAGTGTTTTAAAACTCGGGTGTTTAGAGTAGGGCATTTAAATCTAGACAATATTTAAGGATCTGATTCTTCATAACTATCACTCTCAATCCAACTATTTGAGCTGGTCTAATAAAAGATATCAGAGTTACCCAAAAAATCTTGTCTGCCTATGTTGTTAGACCAACATGGCTACACCCTATACTCTCAATCCAGGAGTTCTTTTTTGGATCTCACTAAGTACCTTGGCACTTACAGTCCACAATACAGCAGCTCAATGGTGGCATAATGATTTGGGTTGTCCACCTGAGTGTGTGATCTCCTCATCTTCCTTGAATGTTTGGAAAATTATAAGAAATCCTTTTTATGGAACTGGTACGTATTTCATCTTAGTTTGTGGAAGATTGTCTAAAGATGGGTTGAAAATACATGAGCACTCAGTACCAGGATTTTGGTTCTTTGAAATTTTTGAGCAGTACTAATTAAGGAATATTTAGGAGAACAGCTAATCATAGCAGTTTATCAAGCCTTGAGCTTTACTTATTCTGAACACTATCATTTGATTTTGATTTCTGGAAACTTTAGGGTTTGGTTTTGTAAGACTTATTCTAAGACACAGATAGAACAGGGAAGCCTTTTCTCAAGATCCCTTTGGTTAAGTCCATTAGCTAATGCTACATACTATATTTATTACATAGTTAAATTACTCTTTTTGTCACTTCACTAAGCTGACTGTTGCAAAGTCACACTGTCCTAAAGTGATCTCTCTAATGTTCTTCTAAAATTGTCTATGATTGCACAAAAACTGCAAAAAATAATGCTACAGAACTTAGAGCCAACCTCTTTTTCACATAGAGAATACCAAATCAAATCAAATTCAGTTGCTTAAATGATCCATTTTTTAAAGCAGTTAAACCGATCAAGGGGGCAACTCTGTCAGTGTGAAAATGAAAATACTGTTGTCTGATATCTCAAGGATTTTCAAAGACTTAACTACAATGAAAAGTTTGAATGATATTGAAAAATCTTATCAGTGCCTCTTCAAAGAATTTCTTAGTACTATGTCAGAAAAGTTGTTCATGTTGATGCCCAGCATAATATAAATCTCTGATTCAAGAAAGAGCTCTATAGATATACCTGACTTATGAGTAGACCCACAAAAATCATTTCATCTGCTCATGTTAGTAACCTACTAAATCAGGGCTTCAATTATTAGTCACACAATTCTTTTGACATTAATGGGTATTTTGGTTTCAAGTGATCTCTGATACTGGCTAGGATATGTTTAAAGTAAAAATGAGACATTTTGAAGTAGGAAATGTGCTATGTTATTCTAGAAGTTGCAACAGCTTTTCTTAACTGTGAGCTTTAGTGGAGTAAAACATTCTTTACTTCCTATTAACAAATATATTAAAGAAGAAACACTTCTTTTTCCTCTTCACTGTTTCCCCCTGTCTTAACTTAGAAGAAAAACTGAGTAAATGGAAGGAGAGGAGTATGAGAGCAAAGCAGCATTCTGAATGCACTTTTTTAACAGGAAAGTGTGTGTGGGGAGTGGGGGTGAGGGGATAGAAAATAATTTCTGAGCTATTACTTCTAAGAGTGAGGATGAAGAAAGGAAGAGTAATTAGACTAGCTGAAGGAAGGGAAGGTGATAAACATAGGAGTCTTCTGAATACCCTGAAAACAGAGGAAACAGCTAAGGAGCCTTTCAAAGGTATTGAGTTGCCAGCTGCCTTTTTTTTTGGAGGTTATGAATTTATAGTGGAAAGAAAGGCACAATAAAACTTTTTAGATTATCATGTGGCCCTTACCAAAAAGAAAGAAAAACATGTCACTACTCTTAATATTCAACTGCATCTTCCAATCTATGCTTAACCAATAATCAGTAACTGAGGATAGGTCTTTATAGAGAAAGATCATCAGGTGTTACGATTTGAGCCTTGCCCTCTTATCTTTGAAACTGGCTCTCCTACAGAACAACCATGCAGAAACTTTATAGATCAAAAGGGTAATGTGGAGTTTCTAGGTGGGCTTGATTTACACTTTCTTTTTTTTAACTTGAAGCATTGCATCCTTGTAAAAGCAGAGGAAGATGGAGCCTGTAAGCAATGCATTAGGTTTCTGATACAAACATCTCTCATTGGTTCTTCACTCCAACGTTTTGTCCATTTTTAATGCAAGTGGCATGCTGCACATTTATTCTGCATCATGAGTTGATTTTTCCCTTTTTTCATTTTTATTAAACTATTCTAATGTTAACAAAAAATCACGGAAAACACCCACAGAACTTAGGTTACATTTATGTCAATGTAGAAAGGCCTGTAAATCCAGTCCTTATTTGCACAGGAGGTTGCCCCATTAGCATCAGGAGTTACAGAGATGTGTAAAAATGCAATATAGGTGCATGAGCAGATCCAGAATTTTGTTAAGGGGGGTGAGTTAGGGGAGCAGTAAGCCTTGCTGTGGCGAGTGGTCACCCCTGTGTTTCCACCTCTCTACACGCAGAAGGGCAGGCAGACCATACTGCAGAAGAAAGGGACCCTTAAGAAGGTAAAAATCCTCCCCTCCCTTTTCCTCCATGCTGTGCTGCCCATTCCAGCCCCTCACCTTCCATTCTCCTCTATTGCTGCCTGCCCCCTGCCCCCAGCTGACCCAGGGGTAAGCGGGGACTCCAGAGTCACTCTATTGCAGTTGGACTACACATGGCACCAGGCTCAGCCAGAAACAGCAGCAGTGACAGCAGACAAGTCCCCTTCCCCTGCACCTGTTTCCAGGCTGCTAGGGAGCACCTTGGGAGACCGGGTAGGCCACTGCTGTCACACTTCCTGGCTGAGACTGGATTAGCATAGAGCCTGGCTGTAGCAGGCAAAGAGTGGCTCTGGAAACTGCCCCAGGTTGTAGACAGTGGCAATGCTGGATGAAGGGAGAGAACACGCCCATGAGCATGGAGGGGAGGGAGAAGAGCGGTGGGGGATTTTTACTTGCTTCAGAGACTTAAAAACAAATCCGTAGCTGCTGCTCCTGTGGCATGGTCAGTTGAAAGTAGGTGCATCTGTACCACTGCATGCCCTCTGGATCCACTCCTTTGTAGGTGTGTGATAGAGGTAAGGGGTAGGAACTTTCTGTCAAACTTTTGAGCATACACAGTTACCCTTGGTTTTGGAAGGGAGGTGATAATGATGTACCCATACAGGATATTGTTTTAAAGGTTTCTTTTTTTTTTTCCTTGAGTGCCTTGAAGGATTTGGTTACTTAATTTTAGGTGCTCAGAAAAAATGGAGAACTTTCAAAGCAACATATGGATGCTATCTGCTCACCTATAGAACTGCGGTATCTTATGGGAGGAGCTGATGTATTCTTGAATTCTTCTGCCCCCTACGTGCTGTGTGGCTCCCAGTGCCAGGACTGCTTGAATCCTTAGGCTCGGCTGCTTGCCCAGACACCGGGGTTTTCAGAACCTGATGTTCTATCGCTGCTTGTTTTTGAGATAATTTAACTGTTTTGTTTGCTAAATGTCTGTCTCCTCTCCAAGAGTCAATCAAGTGCCTCCTGCAACCTTGTTATGGGACATCCTTATCTTACTGAGTCTGCATAACCATGCACTGTTTGAATTGAGAGATGAAGAAGGATGTGTGGAACTGGTCACAAGTTCTTTTTCCCAGAGTGCTATTAAAGCAAATCTATATTCATGAATGTACAGGAATGGACTGTGTAGTAGTTAACAGGAAATTTCTGTGCTTGAAGGGCCAAGAATTTTAAAATTACTGGATGGTCAGATAATTATTTGATCCCACAACTAAGACTGCAAGTGGATGTCTACAGATTTTTTATATTTGGCTGCCCACCCCATAAAAAAAAATATTCCTGAACATGTTCCAGGTTTTTAATGCTGACTAGAAAGCTCACCTTAGATGCCCACATAGGTTTAGCATGGCATATGCTGTGCTCGTTCTGCACAGACTTCTACTAGATACTATAAATATGTTGCCTTTAATTTTTTTCTCTCCGTATTAATTTGTGACAAGGGCTTCTGTGAGTTCAGTGAAATTTGATTTAAGCCTTATGCAAATCTTTTGTGTTTAAAAAGAAAACCAAGAAAGATGAATCCAAAGGAAGCCATGGGTCTCTGGTTTCACTTTGAGGCATAGAA